TGAATGTGGCTTTGCGTAGGTTTCGGTTACAGCACGTAGATGTTGATCAACTTTCTGAAAATCCTTCGGGGGTGCTTCGATTTCTTTTAATGACGATGTAGTGGGAGTGTCTTTGGTTTCCTCCGTTTCCATATATCGTATTGCCATCTTTCCATGTGGGCAATTTCTAGCAATGTGGCCTCGTTCGCCACAATTGTAACAAGTAACATTCGGGTTGGGCCGATGTTGTCTCTGCGTGTTGGAACTCCCAATCTCCATAGGTACACCTGATCCTCCAAACGTTCCTGCTGTGTTTGGATGGATTGCATTCTGGGGCGGTGGTCTATGAGATGGAGTATAATACGGTCGCTGTTGGATATACCGTGGTCTTCGCGTCTCTGTTCGCGGTACTGTCTGTCGATGCTGTGGTGGAGGGTAGTCTTGGTTCTGCTGATAGCGCGGTTGATATCGTTGGTACTGAGTTGGCAGCCTCTGTTGAGGTGGTTTATCTCTCCTCCTTTCCAGATTAAGTTCTTCATTTCGCTGTTCCCATTTCCTTGCCGCTGCCTTCCACTCTAAGTACGTGGTGGGTAGGTTTTCCTGTTGCGAGATACGATCACGAAGGAATTGAGAGAGGTTGCGGCGAAGGATACTGTGAATGAACGGATAACTTTCATCTGCGTCTGGTGGTAATCCTGCTTCCATAAGTTTGGATTTGAGTCCTCCAAAATATGCGTCTACCGTCATCTCTCGTTGTTCGTAATCGTGAAGGGCAATCTCTGCTTTCAACTTGAGATGGGGGTCCAGGAATTCGTTATCTAATTCCTTGATGAATTCTGAGATAGTTCCCCAATTTCGCGGTGCAAATAGGTCTCCTAGCACTGCGGTTTTGTTGTTGAAATTCGCCTTCCATGTATGACAGGCGTCATTGGCTTTATCGGACGAGATTCGGGATAGTGCAAAGAGGATTTTGGAGGAGTTGGTTTGGAAACTTCTGGGATAGGCGAAAAAGTAGTTTGCTAAAGCGTTCTTCCAGTCAACGTATGTTTCCTTTTTACCGGTGAATTCGAATGGAGGAGTGGCAAGGACAGCTTTGCTTCCTTGATTTGTTTCGTCGGCCATTGCTGCTGCTAGATCAGGTTCAAGGTCTAAAGATTCCTGATCGAACCAATCGTCGGGTTGGTTTTCGGGTTCTGGAGTCGGAGGTGGGGGAGGAAAGTTTTCTGGTCCTGCTGACTGATACAGTTCGTCGGGTTCTAGAGCTTCCGCAGCAGCTCCTAGAGATTGTGGGGGGGGTGTGTCGGGAGTGACCAGAGGACGGGGTTCTCGATAGGGCTCCAGATTTTCAACGGGTTAGATAACGGATTTAGATAACAAGTCTTTTAGGGAAGTCTCCTCCTTCTGCTTCTCGGGGTCTCCAGTATTCTACGTCCTGAGTAGATTCTTCACTTTCTGACTCGGTTTCGCTGCTAGATTCTCCTCCAAGTATATCTGTTAATGAACTTCCTGTTTCTCGTTCTATCCTTTCTGCACAAGGTGCAAAAAGTTGTTCAACCGACAGGATGAGCGGTGCTTCTCCTCTCCGACCTTGGTAGGTGTAAGAGTACTGCGAATAGATACGAGTTCGTGAGCTATGGTTGATAACGGCCCAGAAATCGCTTTGGAGAACTGTAACAATGAAACGTTCGGGGTGATCAGATTGTTGGTTAACAACAAATGGAGTGAGGATTTCTAGGATCCAGTAATATTCGTCGACGTATTCTGAAATGTGTCGAATGTTGTCGATTTCGGTCGTGTAGTCTTCTCCGTCACGGGATTTCCTCTGAGCAGTCGCGATGAGTTGATCAAATCGTGCTAACGCAGCAACAACTCGTCGAATATGATCTTTAGTAGAGGGCGTGACGATTATAACAGAAGTGCTGTGTTGAAGACCAAACCGCGGCCCGAATGCGTCAAGATTTTGGACTTCAGGGAGGTAGAGAGTTCGGCGAAGTCGTGTCAGATATTGGACAATAGAAAGGTGGTCCAGATGATTGCCGATGCAGAAGTACTGGATGGGTTGGTAACTGACAGGAGAGGCGGAGTAGGTGTCGTAGTAGTCAGATGTAAAAAATGAGGACGGGATATCGTAGGTAGGTTCCTCGTTAGGCCTCTTCCTTAACACAATGCCACAAAGCAAGGTGTGTTCGAAGTTGTAAGGGAGGAGGCGGCTGGGTATGTCTGGAAAAACGAGAGGGCGGATTCGATAAAGATCGAGGAGATCTGGGATGTGGCTCTGCGAAATAAGTTGCAGGTTTCGTTCTTGTACGTTGGCTATTCCTTTCAAAAGCTTAACCCTCTGAGTGTTCTTGTAACTCGGGCGTACTAGGCTCTCGAAGTAGTCTATCAACGGAATTTGTTCGTGCCGCAGGGATATGAAGATTTAAAAGTTCTCTCCGTGCTTTGTCGGAGATGTTGGAGTATCTCCTCGAGACTGCGAGAATTTCTCTTACAGATGGCGGAATGGTAAAAGATGGATTGGGTGAGGGCGAGTGCGTCGTTTATGTCGAGGATGATATCCTCGATCGGATCAATTGGAGAAGACGAAGCAGAGGAGTCTTGATACAACTCAGTGATCTGTTCGACCGTTCCTTCCGCGTCTGGAGTACGGGCTTTGGTAGGGACGGGGAGGACCGGGAGCGGTTTGTTGAGAGCTGCGAGGAAATCTTTCTGGTGTCTGCGGTCCGCTTCTGATACCCACTCTTCTGAGAGCTGTTGGGAGGTAGACACGATGGAGGTATACGACATCCCTGACGAGTCCGGTTTGTAGGTATCTGATGATGGCAAAGAACGCAAAGAATTGGACGAGAGCGGTGATGGTAGAGAAGGCGTCCAGTTTGAGAAGACTGAACGACAATAGGTGTAATGGTGTGGATAGTGAGAGGTCGATGACGATAGTGAGGAGAGGGATAGGGATGGTAGAGAGGTGGAGAAGGTGATGATGAAGGTTTAGACCGGTGCAGTGGCAACGACAGTCTTTTTCAGGGTGTAAGGAAACGGTTTTCCAAAGAGGGGCTCTGGAAAAGGATTCGAGGTAGGTGAGTTCAATATTTTGTCAGGCAACAAATACGAAGCTATATAACAAAGCCCAATGTCTGGTCAAGTCCTTCCTTGAAGGCGGTGAATCAGAGTATGAGAATGAAGAGTATCGGTAAGAGCGCAAATCCAAACTAATATTGAACTGGAGAACAATACATCGAGTATGTACTTCTCTATATAGTGAACGACGATGGTCAGACCGAGAAAGGGAAGTACTAAGAAAGTGGTCTGACCAGCTAGTTAACCAATAAGGAAAAAGGAGGAAAGTGGTCCGATCTATCGTCTTTACTAATCGTATGAGAAAACGTATTGGTAAGGGATGTACGATTGGCTGTATCAGTAAGCCCATGAGAAGGCGCTGACTTACAACCTTCTTCGCTTATCAATATTCCTCCGAAGTATTCCCAGACATAGCACTGGATCGTGACTATGTCATCTGGATATCTTCTCAAGGGTCGACAACAAGTCTACCTCGTTGTAGATACGATAGAACGTGAGTGTGAAGAGAGAATAAGAAGAAAAATGATAAAAGTAATAAGACACCTGCTGTAATCTCTAGTCCAAGGGCAAGAGGAGTGACGGGGATCGAGTCTGCTAACCACGACATGATGGGAATGCGATAAGAAAAATCGATTCCTCACAGGTTGGAGTAGTCCAAATCATGGACAGAACAACAGTGGTCAGATTCAAAATCTTCAATGCAGGAGGAGCCTTTGAAGTCCTACTAGGGAAACCATGGTTAATCAAAAGCGCAGCAGTACATTTTTACAAGAATGACACACTACAACTGACAGATGACAAAGGCACTATAATACTGCAAAACCATAATAAGATGCAGAAAAACGAAGAGACCACGACAAAGAAAAAAGACGAACCACCAGAACAAAAACATACAGAGGAAACTGAAGGAGAAGAACAAACAAATATAGATGGAGGAGACGAATGAAAGAAAGAAGATCAAGCTACAAACAACGAACAGAAGTGGGACAGAGGGGGGAGATTGAGAAGGAAAGCGGAAACGAGGATAGAAGCAGTGGTAATGGTAGGTGAGGAGCAAGAAGTCATCGGCAAGAAAGAGAAGAAGTCGAAAAAGGACAAAGACAAAAATGAAGAGATATATGCACACCTTGCAAAAGTTGTCGCCAGAAGGGAATGGAAGAAAAAACACAAGATGATAGGAGAACTAAAACGATTAGTCACGATGTATGGAAGGAAAAAGAGAAATTGGAGAAAGGAAATATCACCAATAAGGAGACAAGCAAAAAATGAACAAGACAAAGTGCAAGCATTCTTGATGCTAAAAGAACAAGAAGAAGCCCAACGAAGTAACCGGTTCGACAAAGAAAGGGTAAAAAAGATACAAGAATTAGTAACAATAGGACAACAATTGGAAGAAGACCAGAAAACAAAAGTATGCACATTGATTGAAAAGTACGCTGACGTGTTTGCATTATTGTTAGCAGAAGTACAGCCAGTGGCATCATACGTACATAAATTGAATCTCCCACCAGACATATCAGGACCAATGAGACTGCGACAGAAAACATTGATGGAACCACAAAAGGAATGGTTGTATGCAATGCTTGATGACATGGTAGAAGCAGGCATAATACGGACAATGTCAGCAAACAAAGTTAAATGGGTCTCAGAGGTGAACATACTACCGAAGAATAGTGGAAAAAACAAAAAAAATCCTAAAGAGATCAAATGGAAAGCAAATGAAGTGTTAGCGAGAGCAAAACTACCTCCTCAATGGATAGACATATCAAAATCAGTGGCACAACAACAAGAAAACACGAGTACAGAAACAGTAAACAATTGGAAAAAATGGAGGCTTACATTGAATTTTATCCCATTAAACAAAGTAACACTGAAGACAGTATTTGATATAGGTGACCTAGAAGGAAAACAGATGAAAGTGGCCAGAAAGAAATGGATAAGTGTTATGGACTTTCATGCTGGATTCTATGCAATACCAATGCAAGAAAGCAGGGAATCATGTGTCCCTTTCTAGGTTTGAATGTGTCCTTCAAATCTATAGCATGGTCCCAAGGCTTAGCCTCTGGGAAGCGCTCTGATTTATGTTTAGAAAAGACTTTCCGGAAGTCATGGTACTCGGGAGGTACCAGCCTCTTAATCTCTTCCTCGGGTTTTACCTCATTGTCCTTATCGTCAATCTTTTCTAAAGATCTAAGCTTGGCATAAACATGAACAGCATTTATCCTTTCATTCAGCTCAGTTTGACGGATATGACTCGGCTTACCCAAGTCCTCACACTCCTGAGGGCAACATGACAATGTGACAATTGTGTTTAGATAGCCAGGTCCAGCCTAAGATTAAATTAATCTTCCCTAGTTGGGTAGCTTTGGCGGTGACTCGTTCTCTGTGTCCTTGGTACTCGACAACAAAAGAACATTTGTGTGTGATGCAGCCACCCGTGTTAAGTGTACTGTCAATGTTATAGATGAGAATAGATACATCTAATTTCACAAGGGGGAGTCTGATTTGCTCCGCCCAGACCTGATCTATAAAGATGCTGTTAGCGCCTAAATCAAGCAGTGCGTTGGTTGGGTGTACTGTGCCCCGGGCAAGGTTTTCCACACCAACGTCTAAACGGATCTCTTTTTGGAATAAATATGTGCGCATCAACACACGCCTTGGGATTTCGCTGAAAAGTGGCTCCAAAGAAGAAAAAGTATCAAAAGAAACATGTTTTTCTACTTTAGGATTTTCTATGTTTTTATTTTTATCTTTACCAGAATCAAGCACCCTAGTGTTTATCTCGCCGGGGCTACACTCCAAGGGAGACGCTGGTACAGCGGTGGTATCATAAGTTGTTTCAGCATCAACTCCTTCATTATCTTGACCCACTGAATCAGCGCTCAAAGCAGCTATATCGTCAGGAGGGTTCAAGAAAAATCCACAGTCACAGCTTCGCATACAAGTACATACTTCAGATAACAAATTCAAAAATCTATTTACAAGTTTGGGAGCCACCCCCGTCTTTCCTTTATTGCTCGTGCAATACCCCGGAGCAGGGGCCACTTTGTTGTGGTTTACTTCATTGTTATAGGGAGCGAAGGCACCCAAGTGACCTACACTCCGAATTCTTTTCCCTGGGCTTTTATTTCAGCAACCTGCTGATCGTAAAAGAAAGCCCGGATCTTGTTGTAAGAACAACCGGCCAAAGAATTGAGCCGATCATCTAGTTTTTCTGCTTCTAATTGGCGTGCCTGGCACCCTTGGTTATTTTTTTGTTGAGCGGCCCGCACTCCGTTTGTACAATTTTGGGCCATGTGCCCTTCCTTCTCACAGCTGAAGCAGGTGAATCTGCGCTTTTGTCCACCCTGGACCACGCCGATATCCATAGGAGCACCCCGCCCCAGTTGCAACCCGTATAGTTGCAACCCGTGAGAGTGATTTTGTTTTTGGTTTGATGACCCAGGGCTCCTCTGGGAATAGGTGTTTTTGGTGGTGGTCCCGCCACCTTGATGCATTTTGCAGAGCTCTATGGCCCTACCTATTTTCCTAACCTCCTCTGCTGCTTGGGAGAGGTTCTCACTTCTCATATCCTGCAGATAGAGCTGTTCTGCAACGTGGGGGTTCACATTGCGTTCCAGCAGCTCTACTGCGTGTTCATTACCTAAGCCCCCTTGTATGGAGAGGGCCAGGAACTGGGTTACAAAATTATCTGTCCTCATATTTCCTTGTTTGAAGGAACAGATTTGCTGACACGCTCAGTCATATTCAGCTTGCGGTTTGATATATTTTTTAATCTCAACTTTGAGATTATCCCAGACAGGCCACACTCCCGCGGTGTAGCACTCCTGCATTTGTACTTGGGCGTATTGACCCGCCACAGGTCCTTTGAGCCGAGATAGCACCGCAGTGGCTACCTCAAAGTTGTCGGCAAACATGTCCCAGTCTGCCTTGACCCAAATCTGGAGCTTGATCCACCATTCGGCGAATCACTGTCATGCACCAAAGTTGATTGGTAGCATGGACAGGTGTCAATAACAAAGCAAATATTCGAAAAGACTTGCCTTTGCGCCACACAGGCACAGTGCCACGTGGAATAGTAATTAATATTGCCTTTTTCGAACTTGTGGCTGATCAGCATCACCTCTATTAGGCAATCCAGTCACGCTCACCTTTGCTTTTCCATTCGGTACTTTCCGCATTTCGGCATTTCAGCAAATTTTCGCGTCGCCACTGGCTACACATTGCATTGTGCCCTCGCTTTTGTCGTTTCCCTTACTCCCCTTTCTTTTCCTAGCCCCACCATGGGCCCCTTTCCTCTCCCTTTTATTCTCACCTGACGGTCGTTTCTGGATCCCCATTCTA